AGGGCAGGTTGGTCCATACGTCAAATCGCAGCTGATACACACCTTGGCGCATCCACGGTGCACCGACTGTGGAGAAGATGGTTGGAACAAGGAAATGTGGCAATTTATAGGAATGCCGGTGCAACCAGAGTGACGTCAGCACGTGTGGATTGCCGTATCCTTCGACAAGCAGTGGCGGCCCCACAAGCCTCTTGTACCGCCATCCTGCAACATGTGCAAGACACCCTAGATCATTCCATCTCGACCAGAACCATTTCCCGTCGATTGGTTGCTAATGGCTTGCGCTCATGCCGTCCACTAAGAAGACTGCCATTGACCCCACCGAATAGGCGCCAACGTTTGGAATGGTGCCGGGCTAGATCGACGTGGATGACGGAATGGCACAGGGTCGTGTTCTCAGATGAGTCGCGTTTCTGCTTGTCCAGTGATAGTCGCCGTGTACGCGTGTGGCGTCGACGTGGAGAAAGGTCCAATCCGGCAGCAACTGTGGAACGCCCCACCGTGCGACAACGTGGAATCATGGTTTGGGGCGCAATCGCGTATGATTCCAGGTCACCTTTACTTCGTATTCAGGGCACTATGACGGCCCAACGATACGTTGATGATGTGCTGCGACCGGTGACACTCCCCTACCTTCAGGGGGTACCCAATGCCCTTTATCAGTGTGGATAACGATAAGGATAACGCCCGACCGCACACTGCTCGCATTAGCCAACAAGCTCTGCAAGATGTACAGATGCTTCCCTGGCCACCGTACTCTCCTGATCTCTCACCAATCGAGCATGTCTGGGACATCATTGGACGCCGTTTGCATGCCTTGCCACAGCCGCGTTCAGAAGACGAACTGTGGCAAATGGTTGAGAGGGAATGGAGAGCCATCCCTCAGGACGCCATCCGTACTCTGATTGACTCTCTACCTAGACGTGTTGCTGAGTGCATCGCCGTCCGCGGTGGTCCTACTTGCTACTAAGCCGACGCCGTTCTCGCTCTGTATTATGACTATCATTTTGAAATAAAGATCACTTATTGTTCGTCCCTGTCTCTCTCTGTCTGCCGAGTTTCATCACTTTCTGGCCACTATTTCTTGGTGTTCCATTTTCAATGTCACGCAGTGTATTTTATATAGCTGAAGTGTGCATACACTTATATATTAAAAATAAAGAAGGCATATCCTTACCATGAGCACATGTGCTTTTTAGATGGCAGAGTTTGTAAGTGCAAAGTCGAACTGCTTTTCACATGTGTAGACATGTGGTGCACTTACAGTAAAAGCAGTCACCTACTTTTACCCACCATGATTATCATGGCCTGTACCACATGTTCTAGGGATAAGCAAAAAAAAAAAAAGATGGCAGAGTGCGATGTTTAGCCTGTTTCGTGATATTTGGCCAACCCATTTTCTTGATAATTTGAGCCATGCTCGTGGTCAGGATATGCCTTCTTTATTTTTTATAGCAACACCTGACCTTTTTTTTTCTCTATTATTTTTTCACACACACACACATATATAAATAGATAATTCGACCATGTTCTGATGTCCCGACCTCCGGCCTATCAAATAACAAACCGTAATTCGACATATCGATAATACAACACTTACGATAGTTCGACCATTTTAAAATTCGAATTTCGACAGTTGAATGTTTTTTACTTACAACTTTCCGCTAAAAAGGTATTACGGCGGCGATCGGCGGGCGCCGATTGGATCGCACGCGCGCACTTTTGCTTCCTGGTTAGTTTAAGTTTCACTTTGCAGTGCCGTTGCGCAATGTCGCGAGTGTTATTGTTTTTTTTTTTTTTTTGTTTTTTGCGCTGGCATTAAGAATTTGTGCGCTAATTAACAATAATATTTTATTTTTAAATTTCAGCATTAAAATATTTTAGTTATTTTAAAATTTACAAATAATTTCCTTTTAAATAAATAAATCTTTATAAAATGTAGCCACAATGATTATGATAACATTTTATTTCAATATTCCATTTCTGTGTTATTATAAAAGATTTAAACACAAAATCAATAACACCTGCAGCAGCAGTGGATATCTTTAATACAATAGTTATTTAAAAACATTCCAGAGTAAGAAAACATGCATGTTTTTTTTTAAATGGACCATCTGGAATACATCCTGAATAGGATTTCAGCACAAAAACAGACTCTATAAAGGAATTTTTTAAAAGATCTCTCTCTTCATGATAATTTTTAAAAATTTTCTTTTTATTTTCCATATTTATTCCCTTTCAACTGCTATATTTTCAATTAGAATAAAATATTATTTAATATATTATATTTAATATTTTAATGTCTGTAGAGTTAATATTTGATTATACTACTGAAAAGAAACACATTACCAGTAAATTTATTTGTTACAATTATTTATGTTTCTAAAATATGTATTAATGCCATTTAGTCACAGATACTAAAAGTTAATCATGAAAATAAAATAAAGTACACACACAATGGTTTCAATTAATATCATTAATTTATATTACAAGGCTATTTTTAAAAAATATTATTTTAGCGAGTTAGATGATTACCTAATCATCTGAATAACTTTAATTCAACACTTCCTTTAATTCAACCAAAAGTTCTGATCCCTTGGGGTGTTGAATTAAAGAGGTTCGACTGTATATAGTAGAACCTCCATGAGAGGACACCTCTCTATAAATGACAGTTTTCATTTGCAAAATTACCATTTTTACTATTTATCAACTTTCAGGTAGGAAGACACCTCTCCCTAAAGGATACTTTGGCTCTGCAATTAGGCGTCCTTTATAGGGAGGCTCTACTGTATATATATATATATAGTAGAACCTCTCTGTAAAAAGGTCACTTAGTTGCAGAACCAGTGTCCTTTAGGAAGAGGTGTCTTCTTACCGGAGAGCTGTTAAATAGTAAAAATGGTAATTTTAGAGATGAAAACTGTCCTTTATAAAGAGGTGTCCTCTCATGGAGGTTCTACTGTATAAACAAACTATATAATCTATTCCAGACTATCATGGCCACCTAGAGAAGCATGCTATTTGGTATTCTTGTGATGTTATATGGATTGTATGAATGTATAAAGTTGCAGACTTTTATGAGGTCTGGAAGTTTATTAAAACTTGATCACAAAATTTAAAAAGTCTGAAATTTTGTCAACTTGCACCAAGTAAACAGGTTTAAACAAGTGTACTAATTTTTGGACTTCTAAGTGCTCTTTAAAATTGATTACAAAATTTGAAAAAGACAGACATATAGACATGGAAGTTAAATAAAAGCTTTAAAAAAATGACTTATTGATATAATTATTTTTTAAAATGTTAATATATACAGTATAATAGAGCAGAAAACTTCAATAGTGGCAACAAAACTTGAATACAAAAACAAAATGTAATCGTCTGCTTAGAGTAAAAATATACGATTCGTGTTTGGGCTTTATGAGGTTCCTTTATTTATCATTTGGATTTTAAATATCTAACTGGTTTATAATCTATAACACAATATATATATTAAATAAATTCACGTAAGAGTTATTACAACATCTTTAGGAATAATGAATATCAATAGGTAGTTTATATTGGGTTTAACTCTTTTTTGATTATCGATTAACCAGTCTTTTATTTATTTATTTATTTTTATTTAAAAATTCTAAAATAAGACTTATGTCCATTTTCTTTTTGCTAAATTTGGTGAATGTTTTATCAGTATTAAAAAAAAAAAGATCGATTATATTATATATTTTAAAGAGGTCTATGAAAATCTGTATGCGTGTATAAATATACGTGAGGAGAGATACTATAAATATTTTAATCATATCTTACCTTTTGAGGCATCTAGAGAGAATAAAGTCATTTTTGTAATAATATATGGTATGTTTAATATATAAGGCGATAGTGTGTAGAAATATAAAAGCTAAAGCAAGCGTTAGAAAAACTAATTGAAAGTTCAAAAATGACCCGTCCGCATCACGAAAAAGAAGGAAAGAGAAATAACCTATCTTTAAAACCCTATCAAATATTGAACCGGGTAGTCAGATTCGATTATTAGCTCTATATAGTAGCAGACGATTTGTAAAACGATAATCATAGCTGATATTTTAAATAACAAAAAGTTTGAATATTATATGTTAAAGTTTAAGCAGAAAAAATAGCACATTTATTACAACCAAGTTATAAAATATAAAGAATAAAAATCATTTAGAATACTTAAAGACCTTTGATTTTAATTTGCATTCAAGATGTGCATATGTTAGGGCTTTAAAATAATCTTGGTGTGTCTTGCTCTCTCATGTTTTACAAGTTTCGCAACAATATTTCAAAAATAATATATAACATTAATTACAAATTAAAAATTAATTCAAAATAAATTCTTTTTAGGCTTTTCTCTCTGGCAGGAAAAAATAATAATAACTA